GTAGGCAGCCTGTCTGACTCCAGATACAGAGGTTAAGGCAGGCAGGAACTCCAGCCCCACCTACCATGGCAGGATTTCCTGCAGATTATTCTGCAGCTTGGCAGCCGCTTTCATCATAGAGTCTGGCTTTTCCTCCCTAGATCTTCCTGGGATTTGCGTTTCAATTACAATTTTTTTTTAAAAAAAATAAATCCTTTTTATGACTCCCAAGCCAGCACTTTCTGTTTCTTAGACCTCTCGTCTAATTAGGTGGAAGCTGCCTCAAGCTTCTATTCTTATAATCTGGTTTTGGACATTGTTTTCCCTGTCTCATTCCATGCCTTTATCTTGTCAAGATTTTAGATGCTGCCAAAAGGAAGATTGTTAGAGTGGAATAGACCAAAAAAAAAGCAAATAAAACTTGCAGGTCACCAACAAACAACAATAAATATCTCCATTGTCATCTGAACCAGCCAAGTTTTTTTTTTAAAGAAATCCATGGTCAAGATTTAAACAGAGCCACTGGAAAGCTTTCTCTTGGCCCAAGCAGTCTCAAAGAGCACGTTTTCGCTATCCACAAGCAAAGTTAATTGTTTCAGATGGTGGCTGTGTCCTCCACCCACATAACATAAAATGCAGCTTGATTTCCCCCACTCGAAGGGCTAGATAAGAATAAAGAGAGAAGAGACAGAGATAAGGTGGCAGGAAGAGCTGTTCTATGCCAAAGACTTCTGGTCCAGCATTCCTTCTCCCTAATGACTGCATCCTCTACTTGAGCGGAAGCCCAAGACCAGGACAGACTCACTGGTTCCACACAGCCTGTTATGCCATGGTTTATTATATTTGTGGTTGGCGCAGCATGGCATTAATTTTTGGCAATCCAAGTCAAAAGACAAATCTGAGAGATGCAGTTTTCTCACACTTCACTGCAACAATGCAGTATATAAGCTCTAAAACAGCTGTATCGCTGTACTAATTAATAAAATAAAGCAATATTCCAAAATTTAGCTTTACTCAACCAGCCACCGCAACAACAACAAAAAAACGCAAAACAATTCATCCCTCAGTTGTTTAAAAAAATGTCCATTCCTTAGTCCATGGAATAAACTAATTATCATAAGTTCTCACAGCCTAGTGGTAATACATGTTCCGTAGTTTACAAATCACAGGAACTGGTGTTACATAGCACATTATGACCAAAGCTATCAAACAGATTACAGCTTAGCAGCCAGGTCTGAGACCATAAATGTAATTAATAACAATTTAGCAAGAGGGATGAGTAGGTCATATTGTCAAGCTCTGTAGAGTTATCTAACCCAGTTTTGTATGTCCTGTTCACCATAATTTGACTGAATTTAACTTTTGACTGCAGATTGCTAACAGTTGAATTGGCAAGTTCTTCCCACAGACCATATGCAGGGGCTGTTTACCCAAAGCTGCTGGTATCATGCCAGAATCAGTAGCAGCCTAGTAGAAACTGGTAAAGCAGGACAGGAAATTAGCCCCTTTCCATTTTCATTTTTGGACCCGACAATGTGAGATGAACTGCTAAACAGGCATTGCATTATGCCTATGGAGATTCTCAGTCATCACGGTCCTGATTGTCCCAAAGATGCTTTTTTTCAAGAGGCAAATGGACTTTCTGTTTGTTTTTTTTCTTTGAAGATGTTTGGCTTCTCATCCAAGAAGCTTCTTCACTTCTGACTGGAGGGGTGGGCAGGATAAAAGGATTTATATTCCTTGCAGATAGCTGGTCATTTGCATTTTTTAGAGCAGGGGTGTCAAACTCAAGGCCCAGGAGTCAGTTCCGGCCTGCGGGGTGCTTGGATTTGGCCCACGAGGCCAGCCTGGGAATAACGAAACACTGGCCAGCGGTGCCTCTGCCAGCGAAAATGGAGGTCGGGAGGGCCATATGCGGCCCCCTGTTTTTGCTGGCAGAGGGTTGCAGAAGGCCATTGCAGCCGAAAATGGAGCTTGGGGGGACCATTTTCATTGGCAGTGCTCAGGCCACCACAGTACCCAACACAAGTGACATCATGCTGACCACGCCTATCCTGGCCCCCAGAACTCAAACGCAAACCTGATGCAGCCCTCAATGAAATTGAGTTTGCCACTCTTGTTTTAGAGAGTCTTTGAGACCACTGGAGGTTTATCTGTGTCCTCAGAGTCACCTGAGTGGTATAAATGGGTGTGGAGCCTTTTTGGAACCGCTGAAAGGACTGTGTTGTAGGCTGGAGATGATGATATTGAATCCCTCCCCCTCTGTTGAGGGAGGGCTGTTCAATTTGGACAGAGATGGCTTCTTTGACCCCTCTTTCAAACCAGGGGTCCTCTCTGTCCAAAATATGGAGTTTGTTGTCTTCAAAAGAATGGCCTGTGTCTTTTAAATGCAGATGGACTGCTGAATCTAGTCCTGATGGGTTTGTTCTCCTATGTTGCATCATATATTTGTGAAATGGCTGTTTTGTTTCCCCAATGTACAGATCTAAACATGGCTCACTGCATTGTACTGCATATACCATGTTGTTCAGTTTCTGTCTGCGTGTTTTATGTTTCCGCTTGTCCACCCAAGGATAAAACTAAGGCATTGTGTTAGTTGCCAGCTTCCAATCGCTTCCTTAAACTTGTCGCTCCTTATCAAAGAAATAGATTTCACATCCAGCTCTGAAGGATCTCACTTCTTCTTTCTCATTATGTCTTGCAGTGGGCAACGTTAAGGATTGAGCGGGGCGCCAAAGAGACGAACCACCCCGTTTATAAGCCCTATGTCAATGGTAAGAGGGCCCAGGTGCCTTTTCTTAAGAGGTGGGCGGGTGCGTCAGGCATCGCTTCTCCTACTGTTTGGACTGGAAAAGACATGTGTCTTATTGCAGGAATCATTGCCAAAGAGCCCACTTCTTTGGAAGAGGAGATGAAGGAGAACCGCAGGAGCTCCAGCAACAAGACTCTGGATGCCCCTGAGTTTGAGCTGTCCGACATCTTCTACTTCTGCCGCAAAGGTGTGGAGAGCATTATGGACGACGAGGTGACCAAGCGTTTCTCCGCGGAAGAGCTGGAGTCCTGGAACCTGCTGAGCAGAACCAACTACAACTTCCACTACATCAGTCTGCGCCTCACCATCCTGTGGGGGGTAGGCTTCCTGGTCCGCTACTGCTTCTTGCTGCCACTCAGGTACGGGCCAGGATGGGCTCGGGCTTCTCATTGGACAGCCAGGAGGAATATGGGACACCTTCTTGTTTCTCCTGGACAATCCGTAGGTTAGGGTTCCAAGTAATAATTTCATATCGAGCAAAATCCAAGGCAGGTAGACTCCTCAAAGAATAGCTTTAATGAAAATATCATATTGACACAGATCTGGTGAAAACCAATTCTCAAGACTTCCATGGTTTTCACATAACTAAAAATAAAAGTTGCACTTTCCCAAAACGATCAGTCACATGGTCCAATCATAATGCTGTCTAGTTGCCTAGTAACATTACTCCTCCTTCTTCTAAGCAGATGTGAGAATGACCTTGGTTCCCAAGAGAGAATATTTTGTTTTGGCTACAGAATCCCCTCTATCTCAAAGCCCCTCTCCCTAACCCCCAGCTCCAGTGTGGCAACACTAAAGCGGTCAAAATGGCTTCGGCCCTGTCAGCTTTAGGGTTGACACCCTATAGTGAAACCCTAGTGGTACAGGTAGTCCATTTAGTGACTGTTCAAAATTACAACGGCACTGAAAAAAACAGTGACTTATGACCGTTTTTCACATGACTGTTGCCGCATCTCCTTGCTCACGTGGTCAAAATTAAAAGGCCTGACAACTGTCTCACATTTACGACGGTTGCAACTTCTTGGGTTCACCTTCTGGCAAAGAAAAGTCAGTGGGGAAACACCGTTACAATGGACAGAGGCTAATATTGTATTATATTACCTAAGGTGTTTATACAGAATTACAGACCAATCTCACTGCTAAATGCAGATTACAAAATTTTTGCTGTAATAATAGCAGAACGGCTGAAAAAATTCCTTATATCGTTCATCCACACAGATCAAAATGGATTCCTCTCCAGAAGAGAAATTAAAAACAATATGAGAATTATGCTGAACATTCTTGAATATTATGAAGTGCATAATGAAAAACAGGTTGCAGTACTTTTTCTCGATGCCAAAAGGCATTTGATAACGTGAACTGGGAATTTTTGCATCAACAATTGGAACACATGGAATTGGGGGATAAATTTATAAACACGATTAGAGCAATATACACAAATCAAAAAGCCAAAGTAATAATTAATGGTGAATTAACGCAAAGTATAGCAATCCAGAAAGGTACAAGACAAGGCTGTCCCCTATCCCCACTGCTGTTTATATTAACCTTAGAAGTTTTAGCCAGGAACATACGTAAAGAGGAACAAATAAAGGGACTAGAAATCAAAAAGGAACAATTTAAATTACAGGCCTTTGCGGACGATCTAGTGTTTGTGTTAGAGGATCCTATAAAGTCTGGTACAAAACCTATTGAGGAATTGACAACTGTATGGGAAAATAACGGGTTTAAAGATAAATATGACTAAGACTAAAATGTTGGTTAAAAATATGACCTCAAAAGC